CATATTGAAAAATTGAGAAATCGAAAAGATGAATTATCGAAAAACTGAAAATTTAAAATTGAAAAATTTTAACTTCCAAAAACCGATAAACCAAAAAGTGAAACATCGAAAAAAAATCGAAAGACAGAAATGGAAACAACAAAAAAGTGAAGTCTGAAATTAAAAATTCGAGAAATTGAAAATTTACAAAAGCAATCAAATCAAGGAATCGAAAAAAAAATTGAAAAATCGAAAAATGTTACAATTTAAAAAATTGCAAAATTGTGAAAAATGGAATAAGTAAAAAATCAAAAAAACAAAGTCGTAAAATCTAAAAATTTAAAAATCGAAATACATATTAAAAAATCCCAAAACTTAAACATTGAAAATTTACAAAATCGACAAATCAAATCAACGAATCGAAAAAAAAATTGAAAAATCGAAAAATATTACGATTTAAAAAATCGTAAAATTTTAAAAAATCGAATAAGTAAAAAATCAAAAAAAAAAGAAAGTCGAAAAACTTTTAAAATCGAAATACATATGTATTAAAATAAAAAATCTCAAAACTTAAACATTGAAAATTTGAAAATCGAAAGACAGGAATTGAAAAATCGAAAAATTTAGCAACGTCAAAAATTGATAAAAATTGAAAAATTGAAAAATTTAAATAGGGCATACATCCCATAAGTGAAACGTCAAAAAACTGAAAAAACGCGAAATCGAAACATCAAAAGATCGAAAAATGGGAAAATTCAAAATTGAAAAATTTAACTTGAAAAACCCGATAATCGAAAAATTGAAAAATCGAAAAAAAAATCGAATCAACAAAAAAGTGAAAAGTCCCAAATTTGAAAATTCGAATTACAAAAGCGACAAATCAAATCAAGGAAGCGAAAAAAATTGAAAAATCGAAAAATGTCACGATTTAAAAAATTGCAAAATTTTGAAAAATCGAATAAGTAAAAAATCAAAAAAACAGAAAGTCGAAAAATCTAAAAATTTACAAAATCGAAATACATTAAAAAATTCCAAAACTTAAAACAGTGAAAATTTGAAAATCGAAAAATAGAGAAATCGACAAATCGAAAAATTTAGCAACGCCAAAAATTGATAAAAATTGAAAAATCGAAAAATTTAAATAGGGCATACATCCCATACCTGAAACGTCAAAAAATTGAAAAAACGCGAAATCGAAACATCAAAATATCGAAAAATGGAAAAATTCAAAATTGAAAAATTTAAACTTGAAAAACCCGATAATCGAAAAATTGAAAATTCGAAAACTGAACTGAAAAATTTATTCCGAAGAATTGAAAAACCGGACAATCTAAAAACGAGAAATCGAAACAACAAAAACGTGAAAAATCTAAAATTTAAAAATTGGAAAAATTGAAAATTTAAAAAACCGAAAAATGTAAGATTTAAAAAGCCGTAATATTTTGATAAAAAATCAAAAACACGAAAGGTCGAACAATTCTAAAACCTAAACAAAGAAATCGAAAATCGGAAAATTAAAAAATCGATTAATCGAGAAATTGAAAAAAAATCCGATAATTTAGAAACACCAAAAACTGAAAAATCGAAAAATTTAAAGACATAAATCCCAGAGCCGAAAGGTCGAAAAATTGGAAACTTGAATAACCGAAAAACCCATCAAAAGATCGAAAAATAGGAAAATTCAAAATTGAAAGATTTAAACTTGAAAAACCTAAAAAATGGAAAGGCAAAAAATCGAAAGACTAGAAATCAAAACAACAAAAAAGTGAAAACATTAAAATTTAAAAATTTGAAAAGTTGAAAATTCTCAAAATCGAGAAATCAGAACATCAACAAATCGAAAAAAAAATTGAAAAATCGAAAAATGTTGATTTAAAAAATGGCAAAATTTTGAAAAATCGAATAAGTAAAAAATCAAAAAAAGAAAGTCGAAAAATCTAAAAATTTAAAAATCGAAATACATATTGAAAAATTGAGAAATCCAGAAATCGAAAAGACGAAAAATCCAAAAATTTAGAAGCGCCAAAAATTGAAAAATTGAAAAATCGAAAAATTAAAACATAAATCCCAAAACTGAAACGTTGAAAAAGCGGAAAATCCAAAAACGAGAAGGCGAAAAATCGAAAGAAAACCGTAAAATTGAAAAATCGAAACAACAAAAAAGTGACAAATCTAAATTTTAACAATTGGAAAAATTGAAAATTTAAAAAATCGAGCAATCAAAGCATCAACAAATGGAAAAATCAAAAATCTGAAAAATCGAAAATGTAAGATTTAAAAAGCCGCAATATTTTGATAAAAAATCAAAAACACGAAAAGTCGAAAAATTCTGAAACTCAAACAGAGAAATCGAAAAATTGAGAAATCGAAAAACCGGAAAACTAAAAAATCGATTAATCGAGAAATTGAAAAAACGCGAAATCGAAACAACAAAAGATCGAAAAATAGGAAAATTCAAAATTGAAAAATTTAAAGTTGAAAAACCTAAAATGGAAAGGCAAAAAATCGAAAGACTGAAAAATCGAAACAATAAAAAAGTGAAAACATTAAAATTTAAAAATTTGAAAAATTGAAAATTCTCAAAATCGAGAAATCAAAACATCAACGAATCGAAAAAAAAAAAATTGAAAAATGTTGATTTAAAAAATCGCAAAACTATGAAAAATCGAATAAGTATTAAATCAAAAAAACAACGTCGAAAAATCTAAAAATTTAAAAATCGAAATACATATTGAAAAATTGAGAAATCGAAAAGATGAATTATCGAAAAACTGAAAATTCAAAATTGAAAAATTTTAACTTCAAAAAAACCGATAAACCAAAAAGTGAAACATCGAAAAAAAATCGAAAGACAGAAATGGAAACAAAAAATTGAAGTCCGAAATTAAAAATTTGAGAAATTGAAAATTTACAAAAGCAATCAAATCAAGGAATCGAAAAAAAAATTGAAAAATCTAAAAATGTTACAATTTAGAAAATTGGAAAATTTTGAAAAATGGAATGAGTAAAAAATCAAAAAAACAAAGTCGTAAAATCTAAAAATTTAAAAATCGAAATACATATTAAAAAATTCCAAAACTTAAACCTTGAAAATTTACAAAATCGACAAATCAAATCAACGAATCGAAAAAAAATTGAAAAATCGAAAAATATTACGATTTAAAAAATCGTAAAATTTTGAAAAATCGAATAAGTAGAAAATCAAAAAAAAAGAAAGTCGAAAAACTTTTAAAATCGAAATACATATGTATTAAAAAATCTCAAAACTTAAATATTGAAAATTTGAAAATCGAAAAACTGAGAAATCGAAAAATCCAAAAATTTAGCAACGCCAAAAATTGATAAAAATTGAAAAATCGAAAAATTTAAATAGGGCATACATCCTATAAGTGAAACGTCAAAAAACTCAAAAAACGCGAAATCGAAACATCAAAATATCGAAAAATGGGAAAATTCAAAATCGAAAAATTGAACTGAAAAATTAATTCCGAAGAATTGAAAAACCGGACAATCTAAAAACGAGAAATCGAAACAACAAAAACGTGAAAAATCTAAAATTTAAAAATTGGAAAAATTGAAAATTTAAAAAACCGAAAAATGTAAGATTTAAAAAGCCGTAATATTTTGATAAAAAATCAAAAACACGAAAGGTCGAACAATTCTAAAACCTAAACAAAGAAATCGAAAAAAAATCCGATAATTTAGAAACACCAAAAACTGAAAAATCGAAAAATTTAAAGACATAAATCCCAGAGCCGAAAGGTCGAAAAATTGGAAACTTGAATAACCGAAAAACCCATCAAAAGATCGAAAAATAGGAAAATTCAAAATTGAAAGATTTAAACTTGAAAAACCTAAAAAATGGAAAGGCAAAAAATCGAAAGACTAGAAATCAAAACAATAAAAAAGTGAAAACATTAAAATTTAAAAATTTGAAAAGTTGAAAATTCTCAAAATCGAGAAATCAAAACATCAACAAATCGAAAAAAAAATTGAAAAATCGAAAAATGTTGATTTAAAAAATCGCAAAATTTTGAAACATCGAATCAGTAAAAAATCAAAAAAACAAAGTCGAAAAATCTAAAAATTTAAAAATCGAAATACATATTGAAAAACTGAGAAATCGAGAAATCGAAAAAACGAAAAATCCAAAAATTTAGAAGCGCCAAAAATTGAAAAATTGAAAAATCGAAAAATTAAAACATAAATCCCAAAACTGAAACGTTGAAAAAGCGGAAAATCTAAAAACGAGAAGGCGAAAAATCGAAAGAAAACCGTTAAACTGAAAATTGAAAAATCGAAATATCGAAAAACTGAAAAATTAATTCCGAAAAACCGAAAAATCCCAAAATTTAAAAGTCGCAAAATTGAAATAGAAGATAAATAAATAGAAGACAATTTTTATATATTTCATTCCTAGGTTTCGTCTTGTTTTATTTTCGAATTGTCAATATTCGATTACTCACTAACTCAGGTTGATAAAAAAACACCACTTCCCATTTAAAATCCCATGATAAATGTAAATACATATTTTCGAAAATTTTCCACTCCCACTCAACAGAAGAAAATATTTAGCCCCGCCCACCCACCCTATCTCGGTTTCAGTGATTGATTTTATCCGATCTGAATGAATCTTATACTTAACAGAAATAAAATTAGTCGTTAGAATGAGAAGAGGTGGGGGGGGGGAGCTCGTACTTGCTAAGGTAAGACTGATTTTGGTAAATCACATACCCTCCAAGAAAATAGAGGTGGGTGGGCGGAGCTAGTATTTGATAAGATAAAACTAATTTTGGCAAATCACATACCCTCCAAGAAAATAGAGGGTGGGCGGGCGGGGCTAGTATTTGACAAGATAAAACTAATTTTGGCAAATCACATATTCTTCAAGAAAATAGAGGGTGGGTGGGCGGGGCTAGTATTTGACAAGATAAAACTGATTTTGGCACTTTTAACATTTTAGACCCTTTTTCAACTATGTATTAATTTTGTTAAAAAATAATCTTTCATCTTTTACTTACTCGTAATCATCTTCGTCATCCCAACTGTCAGCATGCCTCCTTTCTCTGTACTTTTCAAGCGAAACTTGTCTTGCATGTTTCGCCCAACTAGCTCTTGTTTCTCGTCTCGGTTCTTCCTCCCATGGACTAACATCTCTAGAACTCGATGAATGTCCACCAGCCCCTTGGCCACCATGTACGTATCCCGTCTGTTTCCGACGCCTTGGTCTTTCGTAACATTCATAATTTTCATCGTCATAACTATCGGTGGAGCGACGATTAGATGGATAATACTGCACTAGAAATTCATATCATTCATTACTAATTGGGGAAACGTCAACAAAATATTAATTACTTTCAGGTTCAGCAGAAGTGTCCCACCATCCTTCTTGATCTCTCCGCATGCGCCGCCTTGTCCAGTGATCACCACCACTTTCGGAATCGCCTCGTTGCCATTCAAGAGGTGAACCATTTCCGAATTCTTTCGAATCGCTCGACCACGGCGAAACGCCTTCTTCACTTTGAACCGTCTGCTTTTCTTTGGTTGATTCTAATGGCATTCCTTGGTCAAAGATTGCCCAACTCTCACCTGACATAATGTGAATTATCGTTGCAATTTAGGTTTTATTTTTAAATTATTATTTTGACCTATGATTATTTAGTATTTTGGTTTTAGATAAGACTTTATACTTTTGCTGTATTTTTTTGAATGACCCGCACTAACTTTTTTTTGTTAAATCGATGTATCGATATTTGAAAATTGTAATAATTATTTTTACAGTTTGTCTATGACAGTTTTATTATAATACCAATTTTAAAAATAACCCAATTGTGATTTTTTTTGTGAACCTTTTCTCTGGTAAAAAATTTCATGAAACAACAAACTCTCTCATCTGATGTTTGAAAATCAGATCTTAACACAAGTGGAAAAGCTTAATTATACAAAAACAAAAAAAGGCAAACATTATAACCATCACTAACAATATCAATAATATTAATAAAAACAAAATTGGTAGTTAAAAACTATATCCATTGGAATCTAAAAAAGTTTCAAGCTAAAAAGAATGGTGTTTACAGAATTTCCATATCTTTATCTGCGCTCAAGATATTCACTTGTATATAAAACATATACCGGATGTCCCACTTTATTTGTGCTACTCTAGTGTCTCAGTTGTTGGAAATGCCAGAAGTTTGAAATTTAGATCCGTTAATTAAATAAACAAAAACCTTTAAAAGGACCACTTTATGTCGGTTTTTCTGCAAATGATATCAACTTTTTTATTTTAAACAAAATAACGGATTCATAAACTACATGTATAGGAGTTTGTTATTTTATACCACTTAAAATCCATTTACAATTTAGAGACGACGTCAACACATTGTTGATGATCCGATTACTATACTTTTTAGTTTATGCTCGAGATGTAAAAAAAAAGTGTTGTATTTGACTCAGTTAAAAAATAAAAAAAATAAAAAATTTCATTTAACACTCTTAAAAACATATTCTATTTTTATATTCATTTGAAAAGAAAAAGTTGACGTCATTTCCTCAAAAAAGTGATATAAAGGTACTCGTAGATTTTTTTGTGTAAAATAATCCTTCTCTCACATCTTTTCAAGTAACTGAAGTATTAAGTGGGATTTATAAACTTGTTGTTGACGTTGAAGTTCCCGTTGCAGTTGCTTTTGCAGTATTCAAACGGGTTGCATAAAAAAAAGTGGAGGATTTTACTTGATTATTATAAAAATTTACCATTTTAGACACGTTTTAAGTTTCTTGTTGTCGAAATAAGTCTACAAATTAAGAAAACAAGTCAAAATGTAGCCCCGCCCACCCACCCTATCTCCATTGTGATAATCTTTTTTATTCGTCGTGAGCCAAGAAGGCGGAGCTTAGCTGCAAAATCCTCATTTCTCCACGAGAAATTAAAAACATGTTTCTGAGTGTCGTGTTGTTCAAATAATACTACGTATATTAAGATAAAATAAAGCCAAAGATTAGGCTCCACCTACATCCGTCCCGATCTGAACTCTCAATTGTGATGAATTTTTCATTCGTTGTCAGATCGAAGGGCGGGGCTCAATTGCAAGATCCATTTTAAACCCGCCCTATCTCAATTGTGATATATATTTTTTTAATCTAGAGCCAAAGGAGTGGAAATTAATTGTAAAATCCTTATTATTTCTCTACAAGAAATTACCATGTAAGGTATGTTTTTGAGTATAGTGTTATTCTAAGAATATTATGTACATATATTAAGAAAAAATCAAAGCCAAAGATTAAACTCCACCCATACCTGCTCTGATCTAAATAGTAATCAAGTTTTTATTCGTTGGTAGACCTAGGGGCGGAGCCTGATTGCAAAATCCATATTTCCTTACAAAAATTTACCATTTTAATCGTGCTTTAGGTTTCTGAGAATAAAAAAATCATCCCAATTACGACAGGGCGGGTGGGCGGGGCTTATATTTTGCCTTTTTATTTTAATATGTGTAGACTTTTTTTCATAACATGAAACTTAAAACATGTTTAAAAGGTACCATTTTAAGGGCGTTTTAAGTTCCTCTAAGGGAAAATATAAGCCCCGCCCACCCACCCTGTCTCAATTATGATGATTTTTTTTATTCGTCGTAAGCCAAGCTTAACTGCAAATTCCTTATCTACGAGAAATTAAAAACATGTTTTTGAGTATCGTGTGGTTCAAAGAATACTATGTATATTTAGAAAAAAAAAGGCAAAACATAAACCCCGCCCACCCACCCTACCTCAATTGTGATGATTGTAAAATCGAGAAATCCAAACATGAAAAAATCAAAAAAATAAAAATTGGAAAATCTAAAATTTAAAAATTGAGAAATTGAACAATCGGTAAATTGAAAAATCGAAACATCAAAAAATTGGAAAATCGAAAATTTAAACAAAAACGGAAAATCGAAAATTTAAATATTTCGAATATTGAAAAATTGAAATATAGAAGAACTGAAAACTCGAGAAATCGAAAAACCTAAAATTTTAAAAATTGAAAAGTTAAAATATCGAAAAATCAAAGCATAAAACACAGTTAAAAAATTGAAAAATCTAGAGTTAAAAAACGGAAGTTTGAAAATCCAAAAAGTAAAAAGTCGAAAAATCGAAAACTCGAAAAGTCGAAATACAAAAAAATCCCAAAACTCAAATGTCGAAAAATTGAAAAATATAAGAAAAATTGAAAAATCGAAAAATTGAAGAACTGAAAAATGGAAACTTTGGGAAGTGGGAAAATAAAAAAATAGATTAATTGAGAAATCCGAAAATTGAAAATTCAGAAATGTGAAAATTTCAAAAATTCAAAAAAATTGAAGAACTGAAATTAGAAAATCCAAAATTTAAAACATCGAAAAACTAAAATATCGTAAAATTGAAAAATGGAGAAATCTAAACATCAAAAAATCAAAAAAATAAAAATTCGAAAATCTAAAATTTAAAAATCGCAAAACTGCAAAATCAACGAATCGAGAAATCGAAACTCGAAAATTTAAAAAAAAAAGGCAAATTGAAAAATCGGATAATTAAAAAATCGAAACATCGAAAAGTCGGGAAACCGAAAAGTAAAAAAATCGAAAAATCGATACATCGTAAAATTCAAAAACTGAGAGAAAAATCAAAAGATCGAAAAATCGAGGAGTCGAAAAATCGAAAATTGAGAAACCGAAATAGGCCAAAATCGGAAAAACGAAAAGTTAAAAATGGAAAAATTGATAAATCGAGAGATTGACCAATCAAAACATCGAAACATCCGAATTTCGATCGAAAAATCTAGAAATTTAAAGTTTAAAAAACGAAAAACTGAAAATGCAAAAATAAAAAATCGAAAAATCCAGAAGTCGAAAAATCGAAAAGTCGAAGAATCGAAATATTGAAAAATCTCAAAATTGCAAGAAATATCCAAAAAATGAGGAAAAACTGGAAAATTGAGAAATCAAAAAACCAATAAAGCGAAGTCGAAAAATCGAAGAATTGGAGAACTGAAAAATCGAAACTGAGAGATGGGAAAATCAAAAATAGAAAACTGAAAATTTAGCAGCGTCAAAATTTGAAAAATCTAAAGATCAACGATAAATTGAAAATCCAAAAAGTAAAAAATCGAAAAATCGAGGAATCCAAAAATCGAAACAGAAAAATTCAAAAACTGATGCATCGAGAAATCGAAAAATCGAGGAGTCGGAAGCCGAAAAGAAAAGTTAAAAATTGAAAAATTGATAATTCGAGAAATTGAACAATCAAAACCACGAAACATCTGAATTCGATAAATCGAGAAATCAAAATTTTTAAAAATCGAAAAATTGAAGAACTGGAAAAAAAATTAAAAAACTAGAAATTGTAAAATTCCCAGAACCTCTGCCAAATCGGAAACTAAAAAATTGGGAAATCTAAAAATCGAAAAATTTTAAAAACCGAAAAACCAAGATGGCAAAGTTAAAAATCGAAAAATTGAAAAATAGAATTATTCAAGAAATGAAAAATCGAGAAATCGAAAAATCGAAAATTTAAAACTTTGAAAAATTTAAATATGAGAATATTGTTAAATCAAGAAATCCAAACATGAAAAAATCAAAAAAATAAAAATTGGAAAATCTAAAATTTAAAAATCGAGAAATTGAACAATCGGTTAATTGAAAAATCGGATAATTAAAAAATCGAAACATCGAAAAGTCGGGAAACCGAAAAGTAAAAAAATCGAAAAATCGATACATCGTAAAATTCAAAAACTGAGAGAAAAATCAAAAGATCGAAAAATCGAAGAGTCGAAAAATCGAAAATTGAGAAACCGAAATAGGCCAAAATCGAAAAAACGAAAAGTTAAAAATGGAAAAATTGATAAATCTAGAGATTGACCAATCAAAACATCGAAACATCCGAATTTCGATAAATCGAGATCTCAAAAAATTGAAAAATCGAAAATTTAAAAATTCGGAAAATTGAAAAATTAATATATAGACCTGGAAACGAAAAATCGAAAAATCTAGAAATTTAAAGTTTAAAAAACGAAAAACTGAAAATCCAAAAATAAAAAATCGAAAAAGCCAGAAGTCGTGAAATCGAAAAGTCGAAGAATCGAAATATTGAAAAATCTCAAAATTGAAAGAAATATCCAAAAATTGAGGAATTAAAAAACTGGAAAATTGAGAAATCAAAAAACCAATAAAGCGAAGTCGAAAAATCGAAGAATTGGAGAACTGAAAAATCGAAACTGAGAGATGGGAAAATCAAAAATAGAAAACTGAAAATTTAGCAGCGTCAAAATTTGAAAAATCTAAAGATCAACGATAAATTGAAAATCCAAAAAGTAAAAAATCGAAAAATCGAGGAATCCAAAAATCGAAACAGAAAAATTCAAAAACTGATGCATCGAGAAATCGAAAAATCGAGGAGTCGGAAGCCGAAAAGAAAAGTTAAAAATTGAAAAATTGATAATTCGAGAAATTGAACAATCAAAACCACGAAACATCTGAATTCGATAAATCGAGAAATCAAAATTTTTAAAAATCGAAAAATTGAAGAACTGGAAAAAAAATTAAAAAACTAGAAATTGTAAAATTCCCAGAACCTCTGCCAAATCGGAAACTAAAAAATTGGGAAATCTAAAAATCGAAAAATTTTAAAAACCGAAAAACCAAGATGGCAAAGTTAAAAAATCGAAAAATTGAAAAATAGAATTATTCAAGAAATGAAAAACCGAGAAATCGAAAAATCGAAAATTTAAAACATTGAAAAATTTAAATATGAGAATATTGTAAAAATCAAGAAATCCAAACATGAAAAAATCAAAAAAATAAAAATTGGAAAATCTAAAATTTAAAAATCGACAAATTGAACAATCGGTTAATTGAAAAATCGAAACATCAAAAAATTTAAAAAAATTGGAAAATAGAAAATTTAAAAATTCGGAAAATTGAAAAATTAAAATATAGAACTCTAAACTCGAGAAATCGAAAAATCTAGAAATTTAAAGTTTAAAAAACGAAAAACTGAAAATCCAAAAATAAAAAATCGAAAAAGCCAGAAGTCGTGAAATCGAAAAGTCGAAGAATCGAAATATTGAAAAATCTCAAAATTGAAAGAAATATCCAAAAAATGAGGAATTAAAAAACTGGAAAATTGAGAAATCGAAAAACCAATAAAGCGAAGTCGAAAAATCGAAAAATTGGAGAACTGAAAAATCTAAACTGAGAAGTGAGAAAATCAAAAATAGAAAACTGAAAATTTAGCAGCGTCAAAATTTGAAAAATCTAAAGATCAACGATAAATGGAAAATCCAAAAAGTAAAAAATCGAAAACTCGAGGAATCCAAAAATCGAAACATCGAAAAATTCAAAAACTTATACATCGAGAAATCGAAATATCAGAAGATCGAAAAATCGAGGAGTCGGAAGCCGAAAAGAAAAGTTAAAAATTGAAAAATTGATAAATCGAGAAATTGAACAATCAAAACCACGAAACATCTGAATTCGATAAATCGAGAAATCAAAATTTTTAAAAATCGAAAAATTAAAAAACTAGAAATTGAAAAGTTCCCAAAACCACTGCGAAATCGGAAACTAAAAAATCGGGAAATCTAAAAACCGGAAAACCAAGATGGTAAAGTTACAAAATCGAAATATCCAAAAAATGAGGAATTAAAAAACTGGAAAATTGAGAAATCGAAAAACCAATAAAGCGAAGTCTAAAATTCGAAGAATTGGAGAACTGAAAAATCGAAACTGAGAAGTGGGAAAATCAAAAATAGAAAACTGAAAATTTAGCAGCGCCAAAATTTGAAAAATCTAAAGATCAACGATAAATTGAAAATCCAAAAAGTAAAAAATCGAAAAATCGAGGAATTCAAAAATCGAAACATCGAAAAATTCAAAAACTGATACATCGAGAAATGGAAAATCGAAAATTTAAAAATTCCGAAAATTAAAAAATTGAAATATAGAAGAACTGAAATCGAGGAGTCAGAAACCGAAAAGAAAAGTTAAAAATTAAAAAATTGCTAAATCGAGAATTTGAGCAATCAAAACTACGAAACATCTAAATTCGATAAATCGAGAAATCAAAAATTTTCAAAATCGAAAAATTAAAAAACTAGAAATTGAAAAGTTCCTAGAACTAATAATGTTGCCGAAACTGCGAAACCGGAAACTAAAAAATCGGGAAATCTAAAAATCGAAAAATTTTAAAAACCGAAAAACCAAGATGACAAAGTTAAAAAATCGAAAAATTGAAAAATCGAAAATTTAAAACATTGAAAAATTTAAATATGAGAAAATTATAAAATCGAGAAATTGAACGATCGGTTAGTTGAAAAATTGAAACATCGAAAAATAAAAAAAAACTGGAAAATCGAAAATTTAAAAAATCCGAAAATTAAAAAATTGGAATATAGAAGAACTGAAAACTCGAGAAATCGAAGCATAAAACAGTTAAAAAATTGAAAAATCTAAAGTTTAAAAAACGGAAAATTTAAAATCCAAAAAGTAAAAAGTCGAGAAATCGAAAAATCCAGAACTCGAAAAGTCGAAATACAAAAAATCCCAAAACTCAAATATCGAAAAATTGGAAAATAGAAGAAAAATTGAAGAATCGAAAAAGTAGAAAATCACTATATTGAACGAAATATCGAAAAATTTGGAAATTAAAAAATTGAGAAACCGAAAAGTCAAAAAAGTAAAGTCGAAAAATAGCAAAATTGAAAAATCAAAAACCTGAAAAATAGAAAAACTTGAAGAATCGAAGAACTGAAAGGTGGAAACTTTGGGAAGTGGAGAAGTGGGAAAATAAAAAAATAGATTAATTGAGAAATCCGAAAACTGAAAATTCAGAAATGTCAAAATTTGAAAAATTAAAAATATTGAAGAACTGAAAAATTGAAAAATCTAAAATTTAAAACATTGAAAAATGAAAATATCGTAAAATTGAAAAATGGAGAAATCGAGAAACCGAAAAGTAAAAAATCGAAAAATCGATACATCGTAAAATTCAAAAGCTGAGACATCGAGAAATCGAAAAATCAAAAGATCGAAAAATCGAGAAGTCGAAAAATTGAAAAATTGAGAAACCGAAATAGGCCAAAATGGAAAAATTGAAAACTAGAACTGGAAACTCGACAAATCGAAAAATCAAGAAATTTAAAAACTGAAAAACTAAAATATGGAAAACTTGAAAAATTGAGAGATTGAAATATAAAACAATCGAAAAATTGAAAAATCTAAAGTTTAAAAAACGAAAAACTGAAAATCCGATAAAAAAAAATCGAAAAATCCAAAAATCGAAAAGTGGAAGAATCAAAATATTAAAAAACCTCAAAATTGAAAGAAATATCCAAAAATGGAAAAATCAGAGCATCGGAAAATCGTGGAGTCGGAAGGCGAAAAGAAAAGTTAAAAATTGAAAAATTGAAATATAGAAGAACTGAAAACTCGAGATATCGAAAAACCTAGAATTTTAAAAATTGAAAGATTAAAACATCGAAAAGTTGAAAATCTAAAAATTAACGAAAAAATGAAAATCCAAAAGTAAAAAATCGAGAAATCAAAAAAAATCCACCAATCCAAAAATCGAAATATTGAAAAATCTCATAAATGAAAGAAATATCCAAAAAACAGAAATTACAAAATTGGAAAATTGAGGAATCGAAAAACTAAAAAATCAAAGTCGAAAAATCGGAAGCTGAAAAAATCGAAAAATTGGTGAATTGAAGGCGTCAAAAATTGAAACTTTAGGAAGTCGAGAAATAGAAAAATAAAAAAAAGTTACATCAGAAATTGGAAAACTGAAGATATAAAAAACGTGAAAAATTGAAAAATCTAAATATTTAAAAAATTGAAAATAACAAAAATTAAGAAATCGTATCATTGAAACAAATGAAAATTCAGAAATCGAAAAATAAAAAAATCGAGAAATCGAAAATTTGAAGAATGGAAAAACTGAAAAAGCCCAAAATTGAAATATTGTCATCTAAAGTTGAAAAATCGAGAAAACGAAAAGCCGAAAAATCTCAATAGCGTATTTATAAATTACACGAAATCAAAAAAAAAATCGTGATTTAAAAAAAACCTAGTGGACCTCATTATCTCTATCAAAATTTGATTTTCGTGGAATTAGTGCTGACAACCACAAAAATGTCCCCCTACTTTGGGGAATTTTCCTTCAAGTTGGTAGCACTGCACACTACCGCAATTTGATTGGTTGAAAACCCACCGTCTTTCAACGGCAACGTCGAACAGTAACGTCAGCGGCAAATTTATAAATTGACCTTTACAGTGGAACAGGTCAAAAATCGGACATCCAAAACTCCAACTCGAGATTTAGATTCTCAAAATTTTAAATTATTACTTCAGAGTATTAACGTTTTTTTTATTACATTTTTTATATGGGATACTAGTAAGATAACGTTCATGTGAATGTTAATTTTTCAAAGTAGGTAGAAGAAACACGCACTAACCTGCCGCATCGTCATTCTTTTTCCCGACTTCTGAGTTGCTACCAGTGTTGTCAACCTCCGGAGAACTTCCGCTCACTACATCTGACAGAGATCCCGAATTGAGTCTAACATTGCTTTGCATAATGTCAGTTATTGCTATCGGAACAGGACTTTTTATTGCTTTATTTACAGGTGATTTTGGCGACTTTACGGCTTCGTTACTTGGTTTAATATCTTGAGTGTCTAAAGTCGTATTGTATTCAATTAAATTATACTTGGGTGAAATCGGTTGCTTGTCTTTTTCCTCATCAATCAACTTATTTTCAATGTTAATAATAGTCGTTTCATCTGGTTCCTCAACAATTTCTTCATTCAACTCATTTTGGTCATTTTCGTTCTTATTATCGTCTTTATATTCCGCTTCTGTTAGTTTCAATTCGCTTTCAACAATTTCGCGAAGAGCGGCATATTTATCTGTAACTGTGTCATCGATGCTTGAATATACATTATTAACGTTGCTGTCAAGAGAACTGGGCATATTTTCCTTTTCGTTCTGTATTTCTTCGGGTTCTGTATCGATTTTAGTTTGTTTAATTTCTTCATTTATCAGTTCTCGAAAAACGGCGTAACGATCATAGGCTTCAGAACTTGTAACAGTCGTACAATTTATGTTGTTAAAATTTGCAGCAAAGTCGGCATCAAAAGACGGCATTGTGCTGTCAGCTACTAAATCTGATGTCATTTCGTGACTGGCCCGAGATTTGACAAAATTTGACAAGTAATTAGTCAACTGAACTAAAGTCATGTTACTTAATTGAGTAGCTGGTATATTTAGCTTTGTAGCTAATTCATTTAACCCACTTAACGTTAGTTGACTTAAAGTAATATCTAGTCCGTCCAAAGACGATAAATTATCTGCGGCCATGCTTGTTGTTACATTTGGTTTTGAATCCAGATAAGAAGCTATAGTAACTTGGGCTACATTTTGTTTTTTACCACTTTTTTGCGGTGGTGGCAATAAAATAGGAGAACTACTTTTTGCTATAGTTTTTGGTTCCACCTTTTGATCCACGAAACAAATGGGAGTCAAGTAATCTTCCTCGCTAGAGTGTAGATTAAATTGTTTCTTCGGTCTTTCTGGTACTGGTCCATAATCTGATTCAAATTTAGTTTTTCTTGCTGGTACTGGTATTGGAGGACTCTTATCTAAATTCTTCACCACTTCTAAACTACTCGGAGCGGTTTGATACACATCCATGTAGTCGTAATGGGACTCCTCTATGGGCGGTCGAGGAGGCGGCTTCACAGAAAAATCATTTCCGGCTTTTTTCGGGGGCAACGGTGGCGGTTTAATTTGTGTCAATGTCGATTCAGGTCTTGGTGGCGGTTCAGGAGCACTTTCAGATCCTGAAGAAATATCCAAACTGATATTTTCGTGAAGGCGCATTAATTTATTTTCTTGTTTTGATTCAAATTTGTCGAAGTGAACATCGAACGTATTTTGCTTATCAAAGTGAACGGTTTTGGGAGAACTACCGGAAATAACTGACATATGTTTTTCTATCGTGTCTTTGGGTGACTTTGCTAAATTTTTTTGCCCGAATTGCAAGCCGTCGCTTTGTTGATTGAGATCAAACTTGAAACTTTCGAAATCATTTGACTTTGAAACTTTTGTTTTAAAACCTGCAAATTCCGTATCGAACGGATCATTTCTGATAAAATCTGTTCCAGCAAAAGGATCTTCCGTAACGAATGGATCTTCGCCGAATGGATCAGTGGTAAAATCGTTCTGTTGTGATGATTTTGATAAATTAATTTTCTTGTTAAATAAATTCGTTTCTTGTTGTTGAGCTTGTGAGACCAAATCATTAAGTACTTTCTTTGGCGGGTTCTTAAGTTCTTGAAAGAAATGTTTTTTGTCAATATATGGTTTAATTTTTCCGGTTCCTAAATCAAAAATTAACCTAAGTTAAAACCTAGTAACAGGTCATAGTAATCTAATAAATAAAAAACATATTACCAAAGTGGTGTTGGGGGAATTTTATACGAAAAAAACAGGATAAAAACACCTACTCATCGCAATCTCACAAAGTCATAAAAAAGAAAATAATATAAATTAATAGTAAAAATAGCAAGTCAAATGAACAATATACATACCAAGTGGATCCAATTCTGTAAAAACATCAAACTGTGATAAAATCTCTTGTTTGGTCATTTCGTGTTTCTCGTCTTTTGTAGGTTCAGGCACTAGAGGCGGTTCTTCAAAAATACTCTTTCCGCCGGACTGAGTAAACCAGTCTTCGCTCGTCGACTCCGGCTGTGAGCTGCTTAACTCATGAGCAAAAATATCTTTCTTACTTTTTCCATCTCTAGAATTAAATAAACTAGTATCAGAGCTCGTGTCTAGACTGCCACCAGTGCGGGGTGTCCTTGGACTAAATAAACTACTGGTTTCAGAGGTTCGACTAGACCTTTCCCGTCCCGACGATGGAGGAGGTGGCAAAATTGGTTTCTGAAAAATGCGTAAGTCACTAACAAATCAAACTGAAACGAGCGAATTTACAGTGTAGTTAATAAAGCTGTCACCAAAAGGGTCATCTTTAGAGCCATAAGGATCAGACGGTGTCATTCTTTCCATTTGATTAAGGCCTTGTTGCAAACTATTTAATTCTAATTCGAGATCGACCAAATCAGCTACAGCTGTACCGTCCGGTTTTGCTTCTGCACTCGGAATAGCTTTATTATCACTGGTAAAATTTTTAGAATTTTCCTGTGCTATAGGCTGCAACTGAACAGCAAAAATTATTAAAGTTTTCCCTTTTTAACAAGTATACTGTTTCCAACCCACGTCTTGATAAGCAAAATTTCGAAAGTTTTATTTGATCTTCATAATAAATTGTAACAATATAAATAATAAAAAACTTGTTTCACTACAACTCGTCGCTTGAGAACTTGTTTGATTTACAGACCAGAGCGCGCTCAGGCCAATGTCGACTCTAAGCGTTCAGAAGCGATTTGGTGGGTTTTTATAACGACTAAGTGAATATTTTTGGTAGTTATTTTGTGTAACTAAGAATTAATTCTTTATTTGTGTTTTATACTAGCAAAACGTCTTAAACTAAGAATATTGTTGAAATCGTAATAACCCAATGGATTTTTTCTGGAAAATGTTCTATTTTGTATGAATTTAAATGTTTTTAGTGACCATTTTTGTGGTTGTTTTCGATACAAAAATCGAAACTCTAAAAAATCGTAAAACCGAAACATTGAAAAACTGGAAAATCGAAAAATCAAAAGATCAAGAAATCGTGGAGTCGAGAAGTCGAACAATTGAGAAACCGAAATAGGCCAAAATTGAAAAATCGAAAAGTTAAAAATTGAACAATTTATAATAAATGGAGAAATTGACAATCAAAATATCGAAAAATCCAAATCTCGATAAATCGAGAAATCAAAAAACTTAAAAATTCGAATAACTGAAAAATTGAGAGATTGAAAGATCAAAAGAACGAGAAATCGACAAACAGAAAGTTAAAAGCTGAAAAATTGGAAAAGCGGAAAAATCAAAAAACGAAAAAATGAAAAATTGGAAAAACTGAGAAACGGAAATTGGCTAAAAGAAAAAATTGTAAATTTGATAAATCGAAAACCTGAACAATCAAATCTCGATAAATCGGGAATGAAAAATTAACTAATCGAAAAATTGAAAAACAGACCATCTAAAACCTGGAAATCGAAAAATCGAAAGATTAAGAAATATTGAAAAATTAAAATATCAAAAGATTGAAAAATCTAAAATTTAAAAATCCAGAAGTCAAAAATAGAAAGCCGAAGAATTGAAAAAATCCTAAAACTGAAATGTCTAAAAACTGAAAAATCGAAAAATCAAGAAAATGAAGTCGGAAAATAGAAAAATCAAAAACCTGAAAAATCAAAAAATTAAAGAATTGAAGAACAGGAAAATCGAAACACTCGAAGGTCAAGAAATGGGAAAATCAAAAATCGATGAATTGAAAAATCGAAAAATTGAGAGTTTATAAAAGCCAAATTTGAAAAATTAAAAAATCGAAAATTTGACAAAATGCCAATTGAAAAACAGAAAATCTAAAACCGGGAAGTCGAAAAATCAAAAAATTAAGAAATCGATACATTTGAAAAATTCGAAAACTTGAAAAATTCAAATATCGAAGAAGTGAAATGTAAAATCGAGAAATCGAAAAATCTAAAATTTAAAAATCGAAAAATTAAAAAAGTGAAGTCGAAAAATAGAAACCTTAAAAAATCGAATAATTGAAAAATCAAAAACCTGAAAAATCAAAAAATTAAAGAATTGAAGAACAGGAAAATCGAAACACTCGAAGGTCAAGAAATAGGAAAATCAAAACATCGATTAATTGAAAAGTCGAAAAATTGAGAGTTTATAAAAGTCAAATTTGAAAAATTAAAAAATCGAAAATTTGACAAAATGATAATTGAAAAACAGAAAATCTAAAACCGGGAAGTCGAAAAATCAAAAGATTAAGAAATCGAAACATTTGAAAAATTCGAAAACTTGAAAAATTGAAATATGGAAGAGCTGAAATGACAAATCGAGAAATCGAAAAATCTAAAATTTTAAATATTGAAAAATTAAACTACCAAAAAATTGAGAAATCTAAATTTTAAAAATCGAAAAAGTAAAAAGTCGACACATCGAAAAATCCAGAAGTCAAAAATAGAAAAGCCGAAGAATTGAAATACTGAAAAATCCTAAAACTGAAATATCTAAAAACTGAAAAATCGAAAAATCAAAACAGTGAAGCGGAAAAATAGACACTTTAAAAAATCGAAAAATTGAAAAATCAAAAAATTAAAGAATTGAGAACAAGAAAATCGACACACTCGAAGGTCAAGGAATTGGAAAATCAAAACTTCGATTAATGGAAAAATCGAAAAATTGAGAGTTTATAAAAGTCAAATTTGAAAAATTAAAACATCGAAAATTTGACAAAATGACAATTGAAAAATTGGTCTAAAGAGTTTAGACAGTACTTCCCTCGCTGTCGGAAACGTGACGACTGTATGCCTATTATGTTTTTTTTTCGCAGTGGATTTCAAAGAATTCGGTTTTGTAGTTCCTGAGTAAATCAATAAAATAAATTTACGCATTCATTAATTTTTTTGAGTCACCCTGCATATGCAAATCCAAAAATATGAATGGAATGATAAATCACAAGTTCAGACTCATCATATTTTGTACATTTTAGATATGATTTATTCGGCAAACTTTCGAGCTGACGTCATCAAGTTTTTGGAGGGGATAAGCAAATATATTTTGACTAAACATTTATTATGCTCTTTATGACCTTAAAACATCTGCAAGATTTCAGAGCATTCGGTGTTGTAGTTCCTGATTAAATCAATAAAATATATTTACGCATTCATTAATTTGTTTGAGTCACCCTGTATATGCAAATCCAAAAAATATGAATGGAGTGATAGATCACAAGTACAGACTCATCATATTTTGTACATTTTAGATATGATTTATTCCACAAACTTTTGAGCTGACGTCATCAAGTTTTTGGAGGGGATAAGCAAATATTTTTTGACTAAAGATTTATGATGCTCTTTATAGCCTTAAAACATCTGCAACATTTCAAAGCATTCTGGTTAGCAGATTAAAAATTAAATTTCAAAATGTTGTTTTATAATTTTGATTTTTTTTCCAAAAATCTGGATGTTTCGGGTGAAAAGTCGATTCAGAGTTGTAAACTACATGTGTAGGACTATGTTATTTTATACAATTGAAAACCCATTTACTATGTACACTTTTGAAGTGACGTCATCGCATTAGTGGTGGGGATGATTAGACAAATTTTGGTTAGCGTTTTACCATCTACATGATATTCTTAATATAAGTACAAAATTTCACAACAATTGGTCGAGTACTTTCGGAGATTATCTGTCTAATAAAAATCCGGGACAACAGACGGACAGACGGACGGACAGACAGACGGACAGACAGACGGAAATGGGAGACCTATTTCTTCGTCTTCTAGGGGTCATGAAAGATCGAGAAAACGTAAAAGTAGAGAGTCGGCCGACGGACTCGATTACAATACTTCCTTTGCATACGCTCGGGAAGTAAAAACAGAAAATCTAAAACCAGGAAGTCGAAAAATCAAAAGATTAAGAAATCGAAACATTTGAAAAATTCGAAAACTTGAAAAATTGAAATATCGAAGAACTGAAATGAAAAATCGAGAAATCGAAAAATCTAAAAATTTAAAAATTAAAAAATCGAAAATTTAAAAATCGAAACAGTAAAAAAATCGACACATCGAAAAATCCAGGAGTCAAAAATCGAAAAGTTGAAGAATCGAAATATTGAAAAGTCCCAAAACTGAAATATCGAAAAACTGAAAATATAAAGAAAAACTGAAAAATGGAAAACCTGATAAATCCGAAAACTGAAATATCCAAAAACTGAGAACCTAAAAAGTCGAAAAATTGAGCAATCGAAAAATCCAATAGTGAAGTCGAAAAATCGAAACCATTAAAAAACCAAAAAAAAAAAAAAAATCAAAAACCTGAAAAATCGAAAAATTAAAGAATTGAAGAACAGGAATATCGAAACCCTCGAAAGTCAAGAAATAGGAAAATCCAAACATCGATTAATTGAAAAATAGAAAAATTGAAAAATCGAAAATTTGAAAAAACGACAATTGAAAAACAGAAAATCTAAAACCGGGAAGTCGAAAAATTGATAGATTAAAAAATCGAAACATTTGAAAAATTGAAATATGGAAGAGCTGAAATGAAAAATCGAGAAATCGAAAAATCTAAAATTTAAAAATCGAAAAAGTAAAAAGTCGACACATCGAAAAATCCAGAAGTCAAAAATAGAAAAGCCGAAGAATTGAAATACTGAAAAATCCTAAAACTGAAATATCTAAAAACTGAAAAATCGAAAAATCAAAACAGTGAAGCGGAAAAATAGACACCTTAAAAAATCGAAAAATTGAAAAATCAAAAAATTAAAGAATTGAGAACAAGAAAATCGACACACTCGAAGGTCAAGGAATTGGAAAATCAAAACTTCGATAAATTGAAAAATCGAAAAATTGAGAGTTTATAAGTCAAATTTGAAAAATTAAAACATCAAAAATTTGACAAAATGACAATTGAAAAACAGAAAATCTAAAACCGGGAAGTCGAAAAATCAAAAGATTAAGAAATCGAAACATTTGAAAAATTCGAAAACTTGAAAAATTGAAATATCGAAGAACTGAAATGAAAAATCGAGAAATCGAAAAATCGAAAAATTTAAAAATTAAAAAATCGAAAATTTAAAAATCGAAAAAGTAAAAAAATCGACACATCGAAAAATCCAGGAGTCAAAAATCGAAAAGTTGAAGAATCGAAATATTGAAAAGTCCCAAAACTGAAATATCGAAAAACTGAAAATATAAAGAAAAACTGAAAAATGGAAAACCTGATAAATCCGAAAACTGAAATATCCAAAAACTCAGAACCTAAAAAGTCGAAAAATCCAAAAAGTGAAGTCGAAAAATCGAAACCATAAAAAACCAAAAAAAAAAAATTAAAATCCTGAAAAATCAAAAAATTAAAGAATTGAAGAACAGGAATATCGAAACCCTCGAAAGTCAAGAAATAGGAAAATCCAAACATCAATTAATTGAAAAATAGAAAAATTGAAAAATCGAAAATTTGAAAAAACGACAATTGAAAAACAGAAAATCTAAAACCGGGAAGTCGAAAAATTGATAGATTAAAAAATCGAAACATTTGAAAAATTGAAATATGGAAGAGCTGAAATGAAAAATCCAGAAATCGAAAAATCTAAAATTTAAAAATCGAAAAAGTAAAAAGTCGACACATCGAAAAATCCAGAAATCAAAAACAGAAAATTCTAAGAACAAAAATATTGAAAAATACCAAAACTGAAATATCGAAAAACTGAAAAATGAAAGAAAAACCGACCAATCGAAAAACTGAAAAATCCCAAAACTGAAATATCCAAAAACTGAGAAATCGAAAAATCATAAAAAGTGAAGTCGAAATATCGAAACCTTAAAAAATCGAAAACCTGAAAAATCCCAAAACTGAAATGTTCGAAAAATGAAAAATAAAAAAATTGAAAAATTGAGAAATAGAAAAATCAAAAAAGTGAAGTTGAAAAATCGAAACCTGAAAAAATTGAAAAATTGAAAAACCAAAAAACCTGAAAAATCAATTAATTGAAAAATCGAAATATTTAAAAATCGTAAAATTGAAGAGAAAAACTGAAAACCGAGAAATTAAAAAATTGAGAAATTGTAAAATCCAAAAATTGAATAACAAATAGGACTAAGTTGAAAAGTCCCCAATTGAAAAACAGAAAATCTAAAACCGGGAAGTCGAAAAATCAAAAGATTAACAAATCGAAACATTTGAATAATTCGAAAACTTGAAAAATTGAAATATCGAAGAACTGAAATGAAAAATCGAGAAATCGAAAAATCTAAAATTTTAAATATTCAAAAGTCGACACATCGAAAAATCCAGGAGTCAAAAATCGAAAAGTTGAAGAATCGAAATATTGAAAAATCCCAAAACTGAAATATCGAAAAGCTGAAAAATGAAAGAAAAACTGAAAAATCGGAAACTAAATCGAAAAATTTAAAACGACAATTGAAAACAGAAAATCTAAAACCGGGAAGTCGAAAAATCCAAAGATTAAGCAATCGAAAAATTGAAAAATCGAAAAAGTAAAACAATCGACACTGCGAAAACTCCAGAAGCCAAAAATGGAAAAGTCGAAGAATCGAATTATTGAAAAATCCTAAAACTGAAATACCGAAAAATTAAAGAATTGAAGAATAGGAATATCGAAACCCTCGAAAGTCAAGAAATGGGAAAATCAAAACATCGATTAATTGAAAAATCGAAAAATTGACAGTTTATAAATGTAAAATTTGAAAAATTGAAAAATCGAAAATTTGAAAAAACGACAGTTGAAAAACAAAAAATTTAAAACCGGGTAGACGAAAAATCGAAAGATCGAAACATTTGAAAAATTGAAATATGGAAGAGCTGAAATGAAAAATCGAGAAATCGAAAAATCTAAAATTTTAAATATTGAAAAATTAAAATACCAAAAAATTGAGAAATCTAAAATTTAAAAATCGAAAAAGTAAAAAATCGACACATCGAAAAATCCAGAAGCCAAAAATGGAAAACTCGAGGAATCGAAATATTGAAAAATCCCAAAACTGAAATATCCAAAAACTGAGAATCTAAAGGACCGAAAAATTGAGAAATCGAAAAATCAAAAAAGTGAAGTCGAAAAATCGAAAAATTAAAGAATTGAAGAATAGGAATATCGAAATCCTCGAAAGTCAAGAAATGGGAAAATCAAAACATCGATTAATTGAAAAATCGAAAAATTGACAGTTTATAAATGTAAAATTTGAAAAATTGAAAAATCGAAAATTTGAAAAAACGACAGTTGAAAAACAAAAAATTTAAAACCGGGTAGACGAAAAATCGAAAGATCGAAACATTTGAAAAATTGAAATATGGAAGAGCTGAAATGAAAAATCGAGAAATCGAAAAATCTAAAATTTTAAATATTGAAAAATTAAAATACCAAAAAATTGAGAAATCTAAAATTTAAAAATCGAAAAAGTAAAAAATCGACACATCGAAAAATCCAGAAGCCAAAAATGGAAAACTCGAAGAATCGAAATATTGAAAAATCCCAAAACTGAAATATCCAAAAACTGAGAATCTAAAGGACCGAAAAATTGAGAAATCGAAAAATCAAAAAAGTGAAGTCGAAAAATCGAAAAATTAAAGAATTGAAGAACAGGAATATCGAAACCCTCGAAAGTCAAGAAATGGGAAAATCAAAACATCGATTAATTGAAAAATCGAAAATTTGAAAAAACGACAACTGAAAAACAAAATTTAAAACCGGGTAGACGAAAAATCGAAAGATTAAGAAATCGAAACATTTGAAAAATTGAAATATGGAAGAGCTGAAATGAAAAATCGAGAAATCGAAAAATTTAAAATTTAAAAATCGAAAAAGTAAAAAGTCGACACATCGAAAAATCCAGAAGTCAAAAATGGAAAAGTCGAAGAACAGAAATATTGAAAAATCCCAAAACTAAAATATCGAAAAACTGAAAAATGAAAGAAAAACTGACGAATCGAAAAAATTAAAAATCCCAAAACTGAAATATCCAAAAACTGAGAATCTAAAAAATCGAAAAATCGAAAAAGTGAAGTCGGAATATCGAAACCTTAAAAAAATGGAAAAATTGAAAAATCAAAAACCTGCCAAATCGTAAGATCGAAAAATTGAATAATAAGTACACTGAAAAGTCCCAAAACTGAAATGTCCAAAATCAGAAATTAAAAAATTGAGAAATCGAAAAATCAAAAAAGTGAAGTTGAAAAATCGAAACCTGAAAAAATAGAAAAATTGAAAAACCAAAAAACCTGAAAAATCAATTAATCGAAAAATCGACAAATAAAGAGTTTATAAAAGTCAAAAATTGAAAAATGGAAAAAGTAAAAAAATCGACACATCGAAAACTCCACAAGCCAAAAATGGAAAAGTCGAAGAATCGAAATATTGAAAAATCCTAAAACTGAAATATCGAAAAACTGAAAAATCCAAAAACTGAAATATCCAAAAACTGAGAATCTAAAGGATCGAAAAATTGAGAAATCGAAAAATCAAAAAAGTGAAGTCGAAATATCGAAACCTTAAAAAAATCGAAAAATTGAAAACCAAGAAACCTGAAAAATCAATTAATTGAAAAATCCACAAATAAAGAGTTTATAAAAGTCAAAAATTGAAAAATCGAAAGACTAAGCAATCGAAAAATCTAAGAAGTAAAAAAAATCGACACATCGAAAACTCCAGAAGCCAAAAGTCGAAAAGTTGAAGAATCGAAATATTGAAAAATCCCAAAACTGAAATATCGAAAAACTGAAAAATGAAAGAAAAACTGAAAAATGGAAAACCTGAAAAACCCGAAAACTGAAATATCTAAAACCTGAGAACCTAAAAAGTCGGAAAATTGAGCAATCGAAAAATCAAAAAAGTGAAGTCGAAAAATCGAAACCTTAAAAAAAACAAAAATGAAAAATGAAAAAACTGGAAAAATCGAAAAATTAAAGAATTGAAGAACAGGAATATCGAAACCCTCGAAAGTCAAGAAATGGGATAATCAAAACATCGATTAATTGAAAAATCGAAAAATTGACAGTTTGAAAAAACGACAATTGAATAACAGAAAATCTAAAACCGTGAAGTCGAAAAATCGATACATTAAGAAATCAAAACATTTGAAAAATGCGAAAACTTGAATGAAAAATCGGGAAATCGGAAAATCTAAAATTTTAAATATTGAATAATTAAAATATCAAAAAACTGAAAAATTTTAAATTTAAAAATCGAAAAATTGAGAAAACGACAATTGAAAAATATAAAACCGGGAAGTCGAAAAATCGAAAGATTAAGAAATCGAAACATTTGAAAAATTGAAATATGGAAGAGCTGAAATGAAAAATCGAGAAATCGAAAAATCTAAAATTTTAAATATTGAAAAATTAAAGTACCAAAAAATTGAGAAATCTAAAATTTGGAAATCGAAAAAGTAAAAAGTCGACACATCGAAAAATCCAGAAGCCAAAAATCGAAAAGTCGAAGAACAGAAATATTGAAAAATCCCAAAACTGAAAGAAATATCAAAAAACTGAGAATCTCAAGAATAGAAAAATTGAGAAATCGAAAACCTGCAAAATCTATTAATTGAAAAATCGACAGATAAAGAGTTTATAAAAGTCAAAAATTGAAAAATCGAAATATTTTAAAATCGTAAAATTGAAGAGAAAAACTGAAAACCGAGAAATTGAAAAATTGAGAAATTGTAAAATCCAAAAATTGAATAATAAATAGGAGTAAAATGAAAAGTCCCCAAACTAAAATTTCGAAAAACTGAGAATTCGAAAGTTGAAACAGCAAGAAGTTATGGTGTATCAGATCACGGATCATGGCTTATAAATCAAATCGTTTCTGAACGCTTAGAGTCGACATTAGCCTGAGCGCCCCCTGGTCTGTAGATCAAACAAGTTTTCAGACGACGAACTGTAATTCGTGTGACCTGAATTAAAGTGAAGGAAACAAGCAGCTTGTAATATTCTGGTAAATCTAGTGTCAATTTGTCGAAAATAAAACGCGTCGTTAAAAATATTATGCGCGTTTAAACTACAAACTGACATTAACTTGAGATGACGTCACCAATATTTGCTAACTTTTTTTAGCTTCTGAACAATAATCATCAAACATTTCAAAGTAATACGTTATAAGTTTTGGAGATTGTTGGAAACGGAAAACTTGCTAAGAAATTCGTGGAGAAATAAATTCAACAAACAAATGTACTTAAATGTATTTTGTCTTTTATACATACCTTTGTACTAGTAACCGTCGAATCAGAAAACAAGGGAGAACTGGTGAATCGATTTTTATCTAAATGTTGTTTAGCTAATTCAATTTCTTTTTTCTTAAGGGCAAACACAACTTGAAATAAATCTCTCATTGCAATAACAACCTAAAATGTAATCATTGGTTAAAAGCAAGTAAATGCGGGATAAACAGGCACCCACAGTTTTTTGTATTGGTTGTTTTTTATTTTTAATGGTAATTTGAAACATTTGAAAATTCTATAGTTTAGTTATAACTTTTAAAAATAAACAAGAGTTGGTAATTATATTACCAACATAATTTTCATAAAAATTTCAACTTGTTTGACTAAAAGAGCGTTTAATCATCCAATCATCTTGGATACTTTTATGACTTTTCTCTGAATTTATTGCATTAATATATGAACTTAATGAAAATGCATAAATGTTCAGTTTTTTCTTACTTGACTAGCAGCTTTATCCGTTTTTATTCCAAAAAACCTGTGGCCAGTATCAGGTGAACCAAATATATAACCAAAAGCTCGAGAATCTGTCATGTCCTGTGCAATAAAAGAGATTTTATGCACAGGATGGTGATATAATGAGTCCTGTAAATAATAAGCGTCATTTAATACAACTGCGGCAGGTTTTTAAAACACAATTACCCCTGTTTTTTCATCTCTTAATCGTAAACCATCAATAGCTATATTAATAGTAATACGCTGTTTATGCTCGCCTGCAGCTCTAATTGCCATTTTTAAATCAGACAACGCTTCTTGGCACATTCTATCTCCCCTTGCTTCAGAAACTTCTAAAATCCCGATTAACTTTGCTTTAAAACTTACGCCATCTCCCAAGAATCGTGTTGTTTCATTCTTGTCTGGAAGACACCATGAAGAGGAAATGTGTATCATGTATGGTGTTTAGTTATACTCACATTTCAGAGGACTAGTCTTTTTGCGCAATGTTTGCATATTTATCAAGTAATACGCAAATTTTAAAAAACACCCTTAACCATCTGGGACTGAACCATTATTTTTTATCACATAGTAAATTGACTGTACACCTTCCATTATATTAATTGAAAAACCGAATTATAAAGCGACAATTTAAAAACTGTTCATTTTCTACGAAAATGCAATGAATTAATTGATCAGTGGATCCATTGATCAACCCCATTTAGTGGTGTAGCAAGTTTGGGGTTGCAACTTGCACATGCTCAGTTTAGGAGTCTAATCAAATTTTATTGATTTAAAATTTTCCTCAGATTATTTGAAATGTTTTGATTTCTGCATCATGCATTTACCTGTCGTTCACACAATTCATGATTACTGGCGTTAATATTGCTGGAATATTTAAAAGTTCTGTTTTCAACATCTTTCGAAAATTAATCAGATAACTATTTGTCTGTTAATGCACCGATTTTAATGCACTTTGATTTGTATTTTCACATACTGTTACACATTTGTAACATTTACAGTTTACACATTCACATTAATTAATGTAAATGTAATGCAAATGTCAACTTAACCTAACAAACAACGTTCGGAAATGTTATGGGTTGTGACCAGGTTGTAACAAACCAACCAGAGTGAAACCCAATAACTGTTTGTGACGTTTTTGAATGAGGAATTGAGGATATGAGATTTACGATTAAAATAACTTATAATTAGTAAATTCGTTTTTCTTAATATGCAACAACGCGAATGTTATAAGAGTGTTAACAATTAATAGTATTATTTGTTCAAGTGAAAAAAAATATTCTTTTTGTCACACATCTCGACATCTAGGCAACCAACAATACCTAATGTGACTCTATCTTGAATGTGTGGCAATTAGTAACTTTTATGAAATAGAAATATATCTGTGTCTTTGTTATTCTCCGTCTTTTCGACAGCAGGTATTTTTTGTTGCCAGTATGGCGATCCTGTTACTGTCATTAGGCTGTCAATTGTCTTGCTGGTAACGCGTCGTCCACGACTGTTTGCCGGTGTTGTTTTCGCATTCTCGGTGTGAGTATTGACGCGAAAGTTATCAATAGGTGTTTTTACTGTTTGGTTCTGTGGTTATTAACCTGTTATTAAAACAATTTGTTCTTATTCGCTTTAGTTATAGTATAGTGTAGTGTTTTGTGTTCATTTGATTTGTTTTTTTCGTTCGTTTTATTTAGTATATAGTGTGGTATTTTGTGTTCGTTTGATTTGTTCTTTTTAGTTAATTTTCTTACAAAATGCCCCGAAGTTGCTGCGTTAAAGGTTGCGGTAGACGCAAAATTGCAGGGGCCCAACTATTTTCAGTACCCATGGGTAGGTAAATTAATTATATTTTGCAAAAAAAATTACAAAACAACGCTTTCTAAAGTCTGGCTACTGATATTTGAAGGTAACTTCATTGCGGGTAATGCGCTTATGAGGATTTATTGTTTAGCCCCTCTGTAAATGACTAACGAAGTTTATAAATTTTTCTAATCCTCGGAGGTAAAGAAGTACTGTGGGCGCTTATCCCGCTGGTAAAAGCCCTTAAGACGATTAAAGATCAGTGAAGTCACCTACTAACAGTAGCCAAGCTATAACAAGTAGATGAATTTAATGTGTAAAATTACCTACAATTGATTTATGAACCTACACTGTATTTTATTCTTTAGGCATCAAATCAGCAGCAAGGAGACGGATTTGGTTGGAGCTGTTGGAAATTCCGGAAGAAAAACACAACAAAAAGATGGAAGTGTGTGAAGTATGCAATACATTCTGTTTAATCACCTACACTTGAACTATTAAATTTTCAGAAACATTTCTGTAAAGAGGATTTTAATTTTGGGTTTTTGTATAGTGTAAACAGGGATTTGAGACTGAAAGATAGGGCAATTCCTCATTTACATCTATCGGGGGGTCATCACTTTAGGTGTACGTATGAAGGTGAGTATCTATAACGTGTAAATGACAATTATGTATCACTGAAAGCTTGTGTAAAAATTGGGTTGAATTTTTTTTCACATTTGTTGACTTTTCAGTGATTAATAATTAAATGAATCTTAATTATTAATATAATCGTCCAAAATAATGTTGTGTGCAATTTCATCTTGTATCAATATTTTAGGCCTTTCTTTTATCAGGGAAATGTTAAAGATAATTCACTGGACATAGTGTACTGATGCAGTGGTTAATAATTTTTAATAATAATACTTATTTTCCTAAATTTGTTGAACAGTAGAAGATAGTTCAGGTAAATTCTTTTCTGTCGGTTGTAAAGAGTGCAGTTTAATTTTTTTTTTTTATGAAAATACACTGACCGGCAAAAAAACGGCCATCCTGAAAATGTTCGCAAAACCACTTTAAAAATTATCAGTTTAACTAGTGGTCGTTATTTTATTATAGAATCATTCATTATTGACACATTTTGTATAAATCAATAGAACATAACAAAAACAAGAAAGGAAGCTGTTGCAAACAGTATTTTTCATCTTTTGATTATAAGTTTGGCAGTTAATAAACGTTTTCACGCGAAAACAATGCCGTTAACTCTTACAGATGTCTCTCAAATTGTCTCTGATCGAGGATGGTCATAGGCAACGCCATGCGTATTTTCAGGGTGATCGTTTTTTTTTTTTTTTGCCGGTCATTGTATAAGTTTTGAATTGATCTCACAGGCTTCTATCACATCAGAATGTTAAATCTTAAAATATCTTATGTATGCGTAAGAAAAACAAAATGTGCTACCTTTTGTAGACATTCACTTGATTTCATGCTGACCTATTGACATTTATACAAAGTTCAATTTGAATATTCATTCATGATTTTCATGATATACTAACCGACATGGAAAACCGAACACCAAGAAGTTGGAATTTTTCGACCAACTTCGTATATAAGTTAGATATTAGTAATATGTACAAGAAATGATGATAATTTAGGTAGTATCAGTAGGACAGTTTGTCTGTACCATAATCAACGCACGGAATTGTATCTCATACGCTAGATCCAGTGCTGTCGCGTCGATAATTTGATTACAAATATATTTTTCTTTTGGACTATTTCAACATAATATAACATTTCAAGATCACAAATCTGTGGTCCTGTGGTTGAAAAATTAAAAAGGGCATCAATTATTATTATTTGAAGTAATATAGTTAGAAGTAGTTTTTTTACTAGCTGTAAACACTCCTAGCGACGCACTGGCTACGACCTTGTGGACCAGATCAAGGCGTCCCCGCTACTCGCCGTAAAACACCTTACTTCAACTGGGGGATTGCAGCGGTGAAATAAATTCCCGCCTACTGACCATAATCTTTTTTGTTCAAACCATGGAAGAAAACATCAGCTCGTGTGTGGCTATTATTGTCACTGTCATCGAATTTGGTGTATGGTGGTTCTGTATTATTCTGGCAAGATGCCTCCTGTACGTAGACGTCGTAATTTCAGTCACCTAGCGAGTTTGAAATAGGAAGAATTGTGGGCTTGCGAGAAGCTGGAAAATCGTTCCGGGAAATTGGAGCCATAATGCAGAGGAGCGCAAGCACAGTTTCAGAATGTTGGTGGGCATGGACAGAGGAAGGTCGACAATGAAGTTCCAGAGGCACAGGTGGTCGACAGCAAACAACACATCGTCAAGACAGCCATCTTCGACTTTTAGCTTTAAGAGACCGTTTTGCAACTTCCCGATCGATTGCAGATCAATGGTTGGCTGAGACAGGACGACTAGTCACATTGCGAAAGATTTCCAGGCGAATACTGTCCTTTGGACTTCTCACGTATCGTCCTGATTATGTGCTTGCGCTCATGACTGCATACCGCTACTCTGGTGTAGAGAACAACAGCTTTGGGATGCTGAATGGAACAACATCGCCTTCAGTGATGAATCTCGGTTGTGTTTGGCAATGCATGACGGTCGGGTAAGGTTGAGAATACGAAGAGGAGAACAGGGCAATTTGCAATAGAAAGACGTGTGCATCGCACTGTGAGGGTAATGGTATGGGGTGCTATGGCGTATGGAAGCAGGTCACGTCTAGTCTTTGTTCGCGGCAACATGAATGTTCATCGCTACATCCACAAGATTGTAGAACCGCATCTTTTGCCATATCTTCAGACGCTCCCGACCCCCTTTTTCAACAGGATAGCGCCTGTCCTCATGTTGCACGTTTTAGTTTAAATCAATTTGAAGCTGTTGGAGTCAATCTTTTGCCATGGCCACCCCGTTCACCTGACCTTTCACCCATTAATGGGTAAAAGGCTCACAAAGTTAATGTCTCCTCCACAGATCCTAGGAGCTTTACGACATGAGGTACAGCTCACATGGGATGCGGTACCTCAACCGGATATTGATCATCTTATCAGATCCATGCCAAGACGAGTCAATGACTCCATACGTCTTAGAGGTGGTCAATCCCATTATTAATAAAAACTTGGTTCTTCTTTGATTTTTTAACTTGAAATTTTCATTGATTGGGCACCGACCCTCTGTAAATATGTGGTGTTAAAATCATTATAAAATTCCAACTTGTTCTTGGTGTCGGTTAGTATAATTTTACATTTTGAAAAAGTACTCAAGGATTAGACAAAATTACGTATTTGTAGGAACATTACAATTTATAAGATAATGAAATACAAAAAAATATATCATTGTTCTAGTAAGTAGCATTAAATTGGTTGTTACAATACTGTGTATATGGCTTAAAAATCACTTAAAATTTTTAAGCGGTTTTTTAGTTAATTTTTATAAAATTTCTCCTAAACCGATCCATTTTACAACTGCTTTGTGGTAAGTTTTAGATATTACGAAGAAGCAGCATTTAAAAAAATTATTTTAGCTAGTTATGAATAAAGTTTGTATTTCTTTAAATAATAAAAATAAATAAATTATGTAATAACTTCCAGTTGTTTTTTTATTTGTTTATTAAATCAGAATTAATAGAGTTTGGTTTACTTCAGATGATCTTGCTACCCAGTACAATCCTACTATCCAAAACCCAAATTTAAACCTAGACCTGGAAGGAAATCCTAATGCCACTTCCCTAATTTCACTAACCGCTTGTGAAATTGTCACCGATGCAAATTTGGATGTGGTTTCAAAAGGTATGTATTGAAAACTGTTTATTATTATTGTTTGTAAACTATATAGGTAATTCTAATTAATTTGAAACATCATTTCCAAAATGTAATATCGCAACTCAAGTAAAAAAAGGCCGAACATTTTACGTATTTATTTTCCCATATGTGTCCTTAACCAAAAAATGAATAATAAGTAAATTAATTAATTTCCTTTTTGTAGTTGAACCCCAAATATCCTTTGATGTCCCCACTCCCAATCTCAGTCAAACATCAGAACGAGGTAAGTTGCAAGAAAAGTATTTTATAAACTAGGTCCAGCTACGTATGTGTAAATTGTTTTAGTTGTTGAGGTACCAATCAATTCTCTGTCACTTCCTGTTTCACTGCAAAAATTTTGATAAATCAATACATCTAGTATTCGTAATGCAGGAGTTAACAAAATGGGATACTTGGGTTTTAAAATTTTGAATTTTTGATACACACTAATATTATTTAAATAACACTAATTTCTTTTGAACAAATTCTAAAATAATTTTGAAAAAGTTAATAATTAGTGTTAAGAAAAAAATTTTAATTAGTCTCATTACAAAATGTTCAGTTTTCAAAAGGGTAAAAAGTATTGCATGGCGATTTAACAATCTACAAAACATTTTGAGTAT